CTGTACCAAAACATTCTTGGCTTTTCTGTTCCTCAGCATTAGAGGTATTCAGTTGGATCAAATCCTGAGGAAGTAAAATTTTCAAAATCTCTGGGCTTTAACATCTAAAGATTGTGCTCAAAAAACTGAAATATGTTCCCCCCCCTTACTTCACAACCCCTGTATTTAGAACTTGGATCAGATTTAGAAAGCTGGGACATCATAACACAGGTAATACCTAAACCCCAGTATTCTTCTCCTTGAAAACATAGGCAAGCTTCAAGGGAGCAGTGTCCTGGTTGTTAAAGGGAAGATGCATGACAGAATGATGCTAAGGAAATGATGGACATGAAGCATAAAGTAAAACATGGAAATTCTCTTCATATCTAAATAAGTGCGGCATAAGAAGCTGTTCCCACTGAGGAAGTGAACATCCAGTTCCCCACAGGAATTGGAACTATGTAAGCAGTTACCAATTCTAGAAAAGAATTCTGTCTGCTGAAATTCTTGAATGAACTTTAACATGTCTTCAAGCTAATTGCTTTGTGTACCAATGCTTAAGAAGCTCATGCTTGAACTACCTGTACAGAAGCAGAACACTTCTCATAAAGCTTTGGATGAAAATATGCATAATTCACATTTAGAGAACTAACATAGTAATTTTTTTTAAAATTCGGTGTTAATACACGTGTTACTGCTTGTAAAGTTAGCTTATGCTTACAGTGCACACAAAGGTTGTGACTGCTTTATTTCCTCCCTAATCTGAAACTGGTATATGTCAATATTTAAAGTCTGACCCTTTTATGGAAAAAGTAATGTTTACGTCTTGAAATACAAAAGAATTAATGGAATTGCACTCTTCATGTTAGGACTCTTTCATTGCAGTATAAATTTCCTCTTATACCTCACCTTGTTCCTAGTGCCCTTTTTCATTCTCATATTATTCTGTGAAGTGAATGTTACTTGCCTAATAGAAGACTATTTTGAGACATTGGAAGATGCTTTCACATGTCCAAATGAACTACCTGTAAGCTCAAACTACTACTGCTCTCCTGCATAAGAGAACTTAACTTCTGGGGAAGTATTGTAGAGTTAAATATTACATTTGTTCATAAGATGTACTGATACTGTGATGCTAGAAATGAGAGATGGGAGGAGTTTGGAATCAAACTGCTTGGCTTTTTTTCCGAAGTTTTCTTATCTTTGCCAGTTTTGGAAATAACTTAAAGGGGGAGAGATTTGGCCACAGTACTGTACTAGTTCTAGGTAGACTTCAGTTTAGACATATAAACAATAGAAATGTGAATGGTCAAAAATAGTCAATGTACCGCTGTCTGCAGCACTTTTTGAATTGTAATCTGATAATGCAGCCAAGCATCAGTGTAGACAGAAAGCTTTTTGTTCGATTTGAAACTGCTGTCCCAATGGCATCAGGCTATACTTCAATTTATAGCTTTTATTTTGCCTGTGTATGGGAAGGAGAATGAAAGCAAATAACAAGTTGATCAAATATGTAACAAAATGCAGCTGTAAGCTGTTTGCTAAAGTAGCATTAGAGTAGCAGAGCTCTTAATCAAATTAGGTTCTTTCTTTGAATCTCAAGCACCTTATGCTTTTCTTTGAAAGGTTTATGAACAAGTTGAGGATTCCTAAAACCTAATTTACATTCTCTGTTCTATGAAGTAAACTCTGGAAAGATGCTTATATTTGTGGAAAACTTTACATTCTTAGTGTGGAACCGTAAACAAAGTTGTTTTGTAGTCTTGATTTTGCTCTCAGTGTTGCAATATCTGGGCTTCAAAAAACAGATGAATGTGGATTTTGCTGCATTTTTTATGTGTTTGTGTTTTTTGGGGGGTTGTTTGTTTGTTTGCTTTTTTTAAATACCTTCCAAAGCCTTTTATTTTCAGAAGTTTGAATCATCAAGGAGAGTGTGGCTTCCTGTTTTCAAGGAGTTGTTCTTTAGGGAGAGATTTGCTCTTTAGGGAGAGATTTTCAAATGGAGAATGTCTTTGTAATTGCACTGCCTCACTTCAGTCTCAAGAGATACTAGTTCTGCTGTACAACAAGCTCAACAGCTTCATTGTTTTAAGAAAGGTCACTACTACCAGGGCTTTTTTTCTTTGAGGTTGTGGCTGGGGTGAACTACTTCTTTTGAAAGACACTGTCATTTCTAATTAATTCACAAAATGTCTTTTGACTACCATAAACTGGAAGCGATGGGACATTTCTGCAGTCTTGGTTAGTGAGTGAAACTATAGTGGAAGTTAGTTCCTTCTTTCATCAGTATACTTTACCTTTTTATGCTATGTGGCATTTTTACCTAGTACTTCCAAATCTAGCAGGGTGAAGTCAGTAGCTTCACTCCCATACGAAGTACAAAATCTACATGTGAAGTCCCAGCTCTCATAAACTGGGTTTACTGCTTGTAACACACCCAGTAGCAACAAAGACCCTTGGCAGTACTGTCATGATTTTCAGGCACAAATAAAATGAAAGTTAAAAATTTGTCTCTTTCCTTTTCAATAAAAAGGGGGTTTGGATGAACTGCCTCAATAGAAGCAGGCATGGGAATCAATTTGTTTAGGTAAGACCCTGAGAGAACATTTTGAGTCTCAACACAGGTATTTAAATACTAAGCAATTACATGAACACTTTAGTTAAATGCTTGAGATTGGTTTTAAAAAAAGGCTTCCTTGCTTTTAAATAAAAAAAGTGAAGAATTACACACTTCCAGGAACGTGTTTCAACTAAGGAAAGATGGGCTAAACCATGAGCTTTTTTCCTTCTCTTACAAAAAGGCAGGATATAGCATAGGTTCCATAGTTTTCTTTGTACTGAATGCAGTTGTGCTGCTGTCCCACATTGCACATGAACTTTGAGCTCTTGCTTTTGGTAGTTCTGAATTAAAATTACAATTTTATACATGCAGATGTCATATATATTGGAGCAATTTATTTGCAATATATTGGAGCAATTTATTTGATTCATGAGCTGTCTTAAAACATATTTTGTTGAAAGTTAACTGGAGTTTTGACTTTACTTGTTTAAAGTTCAGGATATATTATGTCAAAATTAACCTAGTACATCCTGTAGACTCTGTTAACTTCATAGAAAACTGGTAGAGAGCAGAGGAACCTTAGGGATTGACGATACACGTGTGAGGTGCCTGTGTTAATGATGCTAGCTGCTGGGCTTGCTTTGGTTGTCCTGCCTCTAAGTAGGGAACATGGCTACCTCCCCTGATATTCTGGTAACAAAACTGCAGTTAAGAGCAGTGTTGATGCAAATATGTGAAACTTAAGATGGAGATGTAATTTTTAATTATAAATTTGAATTCAGAGTCCTTTATATCACTGACTGAAGATTTTGCATTCCCTTCTGCTTCTTGGAAGCATAAGATGCTTGCATGAAACTGTCAGGTTTTTTTTTCTCCTTTTTCCTTTCCCTTTCAGTAGATAAATATGAAGTGGGATGCCAATCAAAAAGTACTGCCTGAAAACACACCTTCTGGAGCCTCTAAGGTGCTTCCCTATTCTGTACTTAGAGAGGCTGTACATACTAAGAGAAGTTCTCTCAAGGCCCCCAATCTTTTATATACTTTTAACAGGTTTATTTGGTTTGGGGTTTTTTAAAAGCATGCATACTGCCCTCTTAATTTCCCTTCACCCATATATATTTTGCTTTGGGTAAACCTGAGAGAGCACACAAAGGAAGCATCTTCTCTTTCATGGTTACATTTCTCATTTGTTTATGCTTCTCTGCCCTGAGGCAGGGCTACCCTGAGAGTGTGAGTTGTTGGCAAATAATTGAACCAGATAGTAATTTGTGCATTACTCTGCACAAATTACTCTGCATTTGTGCATTAGCCACTGCACTACAGAGACAGTAAGGCTACACTGTTTCAGGAGGATGTGTTGAGAGAGAAATTATATTAAATATGTAGTACTGAATTAGGCTAGAATAGTTCTTTTAGTGCTCTTTTAGTTTTCTGTTATAATGAAGGTTGTTGCCTTCGCTTGTGCTTTCATGGTAGTCTACAAGATAGAAGGGCATCTTCATATATTTATTTTCTTTTAATCCAAAATCACGTTTCCTGAGTGACTAATCCACTCTATAGGTCTCCTGCTTGCTTGTGTTTCTGCATATCTTCATCAGCTTTCTTCTTGTGAAACTGCCTGAAGTTAGGCTCTCTACCAGCTTCAGTGAGACCCCAGGCTTGGGTGCCACGGCATTTTATCAGCATCTTAAGCAAGTTGTGGGACTTCACGTCTTGCAGTTCTGCTGTCTTTTGCAGCCATTGTCAGATGTATCCTTCTGAGGAATGTTAACATATAATTTGCTTAAAGTACCCCACTGTAGCTGTAGCCCTAAATTTACCCAAGCACTTCCAAGTGTGTTTGGATGGTTTTCCTGAACTACAGTCAGTAGCAGGGTCGTTTGTACTGTTAGAGTAGTAACAGTGCTTTTCTCTAGTTAAAAAGCAAACTTCATTTTGGGAAGGAAGGGGAGAGGTAGTTTCATAACTTTGTTTCATAAGTTTGTCCACGCAGGTAGGGTGTGAGTGATCCTGCGTGGTAGTCACTTTACCCCTTAAAGTTGGTGCCAGCAGTCTGAGTTACACTGGGAGAAACGGCAGAGAAACAGACACGGGTTTGTAAGTCGGTGAAAACAAACTCGTCTTTGCAAAGGCTGGGACGCAGACTGCTTTAGCCGTATGTATGAAACACTCTGCCCGTCTGATGAGCCCTTCCCTAGTGCAAATAGCACCAGACACGTAAAATACGGGGTTTTTCTTAAGCTCTGTCCCTTAACACGGGATGCCGGGGACTGACAGAGGACAGCAGCCTTAGGCCGGGCAGTGGTGGGCGGGCAGGTCTCGCCGCTACTGCTCGTCCCCACCACGGCCTGTCTGGCCCCCGCGCAGCCGCTCCGGGGCCGGCGGTGCTCGCTGTCGGCGGTGCCCGGTCCCCGACGCCGGCGGGACTCGTGGGCGGCGCGGGCGGAAGGCGGCCGTGTCCTTCCGGGGCGCGGGCCGGCCCTGGCGGAGGCGGGAAGGCTGGAGCCCGGAAGGCTGGAGCCGGCGCTGAGCCGGGCCGGGGCCGCTGCCGCTGCCATGGAGAGGTGAGGGGTGAGGGGCGCGGGGCGGGCGGTGCCCGTCCCGGGGCTGTGCCGTGTGTGACACGGGCCCCAGCGGAGCGGGCGCGCACAGCGCGGGCTGCGAGACGCAGCGGGGCGGGAGCAGCTGCTGAGGGTACGGGGGGCTTTTGTGTCACCCGGGAGCTTGGAGCGTGGTTGCTGCTTCTTCAGTATATCTATGGATTAACCAGGAGCCGTGAACTGCTCGGGGATCGCGGGGCCAGGCCTTTGCCAGGCCTGCTGAGGCATCACCGCGGTGCCTTCCCAGCGCACCGGGAGTGGCTCCTCCGCGTCTGAGTAACTGGGAGCGGATTCCTTCTCTTCTGCAAGACACGTGAATATTTCCAATCTGTAGTGATTGCGTGTATCCGAAGAAAAAATCAAACAGTGAAATCATGCTGTTCTTTCAAATTAATTTTTCAGTTCCAAATTGAATTTCATACCTTGTATCTCTTACTAGCCTTTTTCTTCTTTTTTTTTTTTCCTTTTTAACAGTGATTAAAAAGGTTTGTTGTCGTGCAGAAGGAACAAAGTGTGGGTTTTCAGGAAAGGTCGTTTCCCTGACCTTATAAGCAGTGCTAGATGTTCTGCAGAGGAAACTGGACATCAGTAGTAGAGTTGGAGATGACTTAACACTTTAAGTTTCCTAGTTGTGGAGTTAATTTGATGCAACAAAAATATCTTGTATTTTCTACTTGAATTCACTTGCTTGCTTTCTGTCTATGTTGCTGTTTTCTAGAAATGGTTTTGAAGACATGTTATCACCACTCGAGGCAGAGATGGTCAGATCAGGACGTAAGCAAGGCTCTCAGAAAAGAGTTTCTAGTATCCTTTTTCTGTAAAGAATTTTTGTCTTCTCTTTAACTGCTGCTTGCTGTGTTCACCAGATGTATATATTTTTACTACTGCTATGATTTTAAGCATGTTGAGAATAGTTTTTGAATATACAGTAAGTAACTCTTACTGTAAACTCTTTAAAATGAAGAATGTAATGTGAAATTGTTATCTGACTTTTGAGGTATTCTGCAGCCAAAATTCTGCTATTGAGCTATCTCATATTTTCCCCTACTCTAGTCAGTTTTCTTTTCTGTGTGGTATTTTCATGCCTAGAAATCCAGATGTTCCTGGACACTAATAATGCAGGCTGCTGAAACATTTGTACAACTACTTCTTAGTAAATCATACCTAGAGCACTGAACCTAGTTGCTGACAGGAAGAAGAAAAGTAGTGCAACAGAGGACCTTGACCTAAGAGAGAACTTTTTTAAACAATTCATTTAAACTCAGATTTTTGTGTTGTGGTTGATGTAGCATAAGGCAGCTCTTTATGGGGCATAAGGATTCTCTTTATTCTGAGCAGTTGTGAGGAGTCCCAGACCTGTTCTGTTCGTATTTCTGAACTTTGCTTTGTGGTGTCCCTTTTAGCCCTCCACCCTTAAGGTTCTGGTGAAACATTTTGTGACCTAGCTCAGGTTTATGAATGGGACTTTCTGTTTTACTCCGAAAGAGGTGTAATTTCCATAACATTTTTCCTTTCCAAGTAGTCAAATCATTTAGAATAGAGCCAAAAGCATGTTTAGGAGAGTGTTTCTTAACTTGTTTGTTAATCAGTTCTCACATCCCTGGATGACACTATTGGAAACATGACACCCAGAAGCCAGTTTCTTTCCCGAACTCCTAATTCGTTGCTTCACCAGCCAGGTAAGACTGCTTGCTCTCTTACTGTTTAGTTAAAGTACTTACGCACTCGTATTTCATAATTAATAGCAATTCATAAGAAGAAGGACATGGACATGCTGTAATGGGTCCAGTGAAGGCCCACAAAGTTGATTAGTGGATTAGTGATTTTGCAGTTAAACACATTTCTGAAAATGGACAAAAACACCTAGTAGCAGGCAGCATTTATGTTCATAAGTTATTTGCTTATGCTATTCCTGATTAACAATGAATTTTTGCCCTTTAGTTTTTAGAGTGGGTTTGAGCTTCATTTTCATTGTTTGGCATAAGAATGTGTCAGGTATCATTTCAGTGTCTCTGATTTAGTGAGCAGTTTGTTGTTTCCTTCTTTTTGCAGCCTTCTTTTGATTTTGTAGTAGCTTCTGATTCTTCAAGATTGTCTGTTTTGTAGTGTGTCTTCAGATATTTTTCTATCGTTCTTTTTCTGACAGGTTAATTTTGTTGCTGACTTTCTGCATATTTATTTATTGGTTGGATCAGTTAATTATTCCCTCTCCACTAGCAGAAGAAGAAATTAGCACACCTTACAGAAAGGCTGTGGAACCACACATGGTGGCTAGGGTCAGGTTGCCCTGAAACCTCCCAGTCTCATCCCAAGTTCTGCATCAGTGGACCCATATTAAGAGCATGTTTGGGGATTCTTCTGTAACTGGCACTTGTGCAAAGATATGAAGCTCCAGAGAGACTGATTCTTCCTGATTTCGCAAGGTTCCTGCAAAGTTCTGTGTAGCCCCTGCTTGTTCTTGTTTACTGTAACATCGATTGGCTTCTATTTTGGCAGCCAGCAGCAAAGATAAATGCTGTTAGCATCAGCCTTCTTCTTGAGCAGAAGCTACTTATGTGTCAGCATTGTTGTTCTCAGTGTTGACTTGATGCTAAACATACTGTGAAAAGGTCTGTAATCTTCTTAGACCCTCCCTCACTAGTTGTGGCTGAAATAAAGAAACGTGCCCCTCCCTTACATTTCCATGTCATCACCAGGGCTTACCTCCCCTTTCCCTGTCACAGTCTCTTCCTATAATCTTTATTTTGTCATCGTTCAGGCATTCATATTGGGAATTCCTCTTTTTTGTCATCATCTAGCCAGTATGTTTTCCATCAAGCTCCAAGAGGATGGCTGCACCTTCTGCTGTTCTGTTTACCTTAGGCACTGGAGGGAAAAAAAAAAGAAAAGTGCCATAGGCATTTGATCTTTTGCATCTAAACTGGATGGAGTCTGATGGAGACCCAGGACATGCCCTTTATTTTGGGGTTGTATATACTGTTGTGGGCATTTTTCGATGCCTTGGATTTCAGGAGACCAAAAGGAAATATTAGTGATCTCAATGCTGACTGAAGCTGTCTTATTACCAGGAACTGCTGCTGAAAGTTGTACAAGCACTCCTCTCCCCAAATTGGCTACCAAAATGTCATTCCCTCTGCCACTATTGACACAGCTCCTGTCTGTCACTGTCTTGATGCAATCAGTATTTTTAGATGGCTTCTGAAGCTGTTTGTGATTGATAAGGGGACCAAAGTAGCTATTGTCTTGATGGAAATTCTGTGATGTTTGGTTTGTAGAAGGGTCTGTTGTGGTGGATATCCCTGTTGTCATAGGATGTGGTATTTATTATCTTGCAAAGCAGTGTTTATATGAGTTAGATATTCCTGGGAACACTAGGCACTGGATTGATGTGCAGAAGTGTCTGGAGCAGATGTAATGCTTGGTAGAGCAGATTTGTGGTTGCCTTTTGCTTTAAGGATTTGGAGACGAATTTCCAAGAAAGAGTGACTGGAGATGCACTGCTCTTTGTGTTCATATGTGTTTACCAATGAACTCTAGTAACTGAAGGTGTGTCACATATAAGCCTCTCTCTTTCAGGTACTGCACTACATCGGAGCTCCATGAAGCCATCAGATATGTCTGCCATCCTGGGAACAGGAGGGAAATCTCCTCTGATTCTACCAACTTCTGGGCTTTTCGGCAATCTGTCCATGGTAAGATGGTTAGAGCATCTTTTTCTCTTTTGTTCCTGTGAAACATGAGAAACAACTAGTTTACAGTATTTGTGTTGTTTGCACCAAGGACAAACTGTGGGTGGTATAAGCTTCCTAGTACTACTGTTGCTGCTTGCTGCTGGTGTTATTTATTACTGTGTTGTTCTTTGAGAAGATGCAGTGAAGAATAATAGGAGGTTTTAAGGACTTTCCCAACGCACCATATGTGTTAAAGTGGTCCTTATAACATCAGCTTGTGACTACAAAAAATCCTGATATTGCTTGTTTACAAATTCTTCAAAGATAATTGTTCTATGTCAGCAAGTTAAAACTTGAGAATTTTTCTTATTTTTACACTTTCCAGTATTAGGCTTCATTTAGGTGTTAAAGTTTGGATTTCAAAGAACAAGCTCTTCTGATGACTTTTTAGAGGACATTGATTATCTTCTACTTCAATGTTTTTGAAAAAACATTGATTGGAAAAGTTATCAGTAGGGATGTCTGAAGTATTTTATCTGTTTATTTTTAAATTAACTTAAAAGAAGTTTAGATGTCTTTCTGTATATGCATTTTAATTAATTCTCCCTTTTAGTTGTTTCTTTGTAAGTTATCACCTTCTAGGGCCTAGTTGATCAACATGTCTACAGCTCTTAGCACTGGTACTTTTCCTCTGATTCAGAGCCTCTTTTAGCTAATGTTTGGTGAGTGGAATGTGTTTTTAGGTTAACGTTTAGTGCTCTGACTTGAATCCAGTTTTGATTAGTAGGGGAAATTTGAGACTAGACAAAGGCTTTCAGAGGAGGGTGACAGGAAAAAGGACTTTTACTTGTGGAAATTTACTTGCTGGTAGATAAGAACACTCATCAGCCCTTTTTGTATCTCCCACAGAGACCTGATATGATCTTGCTGGAACTGTGTTTGTTATTTCTACTCTGTGGAGGGAGGACTATATTATTCTGTTCTGGTTGGCTAGAGGGGATTAATGGCAGAGAGAGATCAGGCAAGAGGAATACTGGGGGTAGAAATAAGAGTCCAGAAAAAGAATCAGCCAGCGGCACATCTCTAAGTCTTTGTATAGTATTAATTGCTGCTGAGAAGGCAATTGCTGGCATGGAAACACCTCTAGGAAGCTGTCCTGTCAGTGCAGTATATGTACAGTCAGTCTTCTGTTTTGGTCATTTTGCTGCTCTGGTGTCAGATATGTTATGCAATACCTCACCTGAAATACTCCCCACAAAGTATAGGTATGTCTTTATTTCCTCCTTTAATATTCTGATACTTGCTATTATTTTAAACATATTGCTGCAATTTATCAAATGGTTGTGAGCAATCCACCAAGAAGGTTGAAAGACGGGTTAATGATTGATTCAAATTTTAGCTATTTTGCTTAACTTTTCACAGCTGCTTTAGAACCTGATCAATATTGTGTTCTTTTTACTTTGAAAGACTAGCTAAGCATTTAGCATAATAGAATATGAAAGTTTAGAGTGATTTATTTGTTTTATGATGAAAAGTGATACCTGATGTTCTAAAGTAGGTAGGTGTACTAGATTAACTTTTCCATCTTAGTTATTTTCAGGGGAAAAAAGGGATTTTTCTTTTTCCAGATTAAAATTTATCTTTTCAGAGCTGTTTGTTAAAGTCATAGTTGCACCTTATCTAAATGCAGTTATTTCACATTAGTTTTTTAGGATTCTCTGTTTATATACCGTTCATATTGAAGTAAAAACGTGGAGCTAGGCTTGTAATATCTGAGATTGCGATTTATTTTCTTTATGTTCTTGTGGTTTTAGTTGGATGAAAGTAGCTGGACAATGGCACTCTCGCCTCAGCAGACAGGAATGTTTGTAAATCCAGACCTGTCCAATATGACAGAAGATGTCACTATGAGTGCTGTACTGTTGCGTGAGGATGATCCCGGGGAAGCTGGTGAGACAATCTGGAGTTTTCATAATAATCTTATTTGTGGGATATAAATTTATATGTTTAGGTTTTTTTCTCTATCATTTTGCTGCTATTTCTTAGTCAAAAACAGTCTAGTTGAAAAAGTTCAGAAAATTAAGCTGTTCCAGTTTATTGGAGTTTTGCGAATTTGTGTCTTCTGTCGAACCTGATGGAAAAAATGGGATGCTCTGGTGATGTCAGACACAACTGGATTAGTGGACTGTGGAGATACTCAAATGAGTTTGCTTTTAAAACTTTTGCAGATGACATATCCACAGCAAAAGTTTTATAATTATTTTACTTAGTTCATAGCTTCTGTCTGTCTTGCTGTCTTAGCTGATAAGTTCTTATGACTTTATCGGATCTAAATAGTTGATATCATCATTGTTCTCATTTAAATTTATGAAAGATGAGATGCCTTGTCATCAGAAGGATTTTTTTGTAATCTGCTGAGGTTTTTTTATGAAGTTGCATCTGACTAATATGGCTTTCTTATTAAATCTGTCCTAGCTACTATGAGCATGTACTCAGATTTTCTGCATTCCTTCCTGAAGCATACCTCAACTACCATTTTTGATCTTGTGGATGAGTATGAAAATATTTGTAACAGTCAGGTAAGTAGTTTACTTGCCCTTCTCAAAGCAGTATTGCTGAGAACTCACAGTGCTTAACATACTTTAAATCTTCCAGCTGGTTGCAGTGTTATGAGTCATGAGTATCACTCAATGATGAACATCACTCTTTCTTCATACACTACCTTGGCACAGAAATACCCGTGGTGTAGCTTGCTGAATACTAAAAAATGTCATCTGGCTGCCACTCCACTGCAAGTGTCAAGTGGCAACTCACAGTAACAGATGTATAGATGTTTTTCTTAATGTCAATAAGATGGATTAAAATGTACTTATTTTTCTCAGGTATAAATAAATAAAATCATTGTTTTATGATGCTTTAAGTTTTCTGCTACGTTACTAACAAGCTGGCCATAGAGGTCTCTGATTTTAGACACAGTTCTTCATTTGACTGGCTGTTTGATTGTCAGTTCAGAATCAGCAGGGATTGACAATCTGAAAGGAAGAAATTATGATGCTTCTGTCAGTAAGTGTTGATCACAAGAGAGGTGTGCAGATTAAGTTTTTTTAGGAGACTTCATACCTATGTCTGTGCTAGGAAAATTTGTTCTTAATGGAGGGTTACTAGCCATCTTTTGTGCAAATTTATTACTGAGGCTGAGATAGAGAATGCTGAGATCTTTGATGAGGCATGTACCACAACTGTATAGGTGCTCAGGTAGGAAGCAGACAAGAGGAAAATAAATGTGAACTTGATTATTTTGTGAGATAGTGGAACTCCTGTTGGAGAATATGGATAACATCTACAAGGTCAGGGTATAATAGAGTGGGTGTTTTAAGCCATGTGGAACTGAGGGGAGTTGACTGTATGTTGCCAAGGATGTACAAGAGTACAGTGAAAGATGCTGCTCTAAGGTGTAGCTTGGATGTTGCTGGTGGGGCTTGGCATGGGAGTGGAGGGACAGCCCTAAGCTATCGTGCTGCTTCTCAGCTGTATCCTCAGATTAGCCCAGTGGTTCCCAGCAGCCATAAGCTCTTCATATTTTCGGGGGGGGGGGTGGTAGTAAAAGAGAACAGAAGACTGTGCTCCCCTCTTGCATCTTACTGGTACACGTATTCCTTTTCTCCAAATCTGTTGTTTACCTCCCACTTGAAAACCAATGACTATATTGATGCCCAATTAATTGGGTACCCCTAAAATATAAGAGATTGGGACTCTTCTTGGAAGTAGTAGGAGCTCTGGAACCAGCTACCAATGGAAAAGACTTTATTGTGTAGTTTTCTTCATAGTAAATGAAAAAATAGTAGAATTTTTTTGTGGTGATACTATAAATTATGTGGTAACCAGCAGATTGGGTTCCCTCATTTAACAGAGCTAGAAAGGAAAAAGTATCTTTCAGGCATGGATAAATGCATAAATGTTCTCACAAATACCATTAGGGCTAACTTAATGTTTGATATTGACGTATATGGGAAAAAAGCTGGGGATTTTGGTGGCTGCAACCACTTTCTTGGTTTATATCCTCTAGTCTGTGTTAATGGGGTTTTTTTATTACTAATTAAGAGAATTTACAATGTACTGTCTACCTATTTTGAAGAGATGGTAATGAAACTCGGTTGTTGAAAGCATTTAGAAAAAAACTACACTGATGGGCAATGTTAACTATGTATAAATTTATCTACCACAGGTGAATATACTGGGGAAAATAGTTTATCGGGCAACTCCTGGACAGCAAAAGTTTTCCAAAACTGCCAGTGTCTTGTGGCTTCTTAAGCAGGAGATGGTAACTTGGAGACTGTTGTCCTCGCTTTATAGGTAATTCCTTTGAAAAGCGTGTTATGTTTTTGTTCAGAGATGACTTTCTTGGATATGTTTTGTTTGAGTTTATACATAGGGAGTGAAGCAATTAAGTACCTATTAGCAAGCTGTTTATGGAACTAGGTTCTGATATATGTGTCTATTGATTATCTATTTATAGAAACGAAAGTTTTAGAGGACTGTTCTTATCACCTTTGCAACTTCTAGTAATTTTTTTAAACATTTTTGTAAATTTTTTAAAGTATTTTTACTCATGCATTCTGTTAAATTTTCTCAGCTTTATTTTAATCATTAACATTTTGCACTTTTATTTCTAGAGACAGAATACAGTCTGCACTGGAAGATGAAACTGCATTTGATATCACAGTGAGTGTGGACTTTTTTTGTTGTTTTTTTTTAAGTGTCATAAGAAGCCAAGTAAGCAAAATACAGGCTAAATGCTTTTATTGTACTTTTAGAATCTCAAAATTCAAAGGTGAAAAATGAGACTGATTTTTTTCAAGACAAATATAAATTATTTCGTATATTGTGAAGAGTAAATCTAAATATTCAGTTCTAAAGAGAGAATGCTAGTGAAAAAAATATTCTAAACTATTGTTTGTTTTATTTCCCTAAATATTCCACATACACTTGGAAAATCATAAAATATCGTGAGTTGGAAGGGACCCACGAGGATCATTAAATCCAACTCCTGGCTCTGCACAAGACAAACCTAAATTCACTAGAAATAACTATTTATTTATTTTTAAAAGCTGCATCAGTAGCTGTAATGTTCCCATAGGTCAGAGATAATTTTGCTTTGGCTAAAAGAAGAGCATGTGATCTCAAACTGTCTAGCCTTTGCAATTCTGACTACAATTTATTTCAAGAGAAATTCAGTTTTTTTAGCGTTCTTGTTTCAGCTGTAGTCGTCTTGTCTATGTCAATACAGCGCTTCCAGTCTTTGCTGCCAGAATTGCTTAGGAAGACAAAACAATAAGTAAAAAGACTCTGCCTTTGTAAAATTTGTGATCACAGTTGCTTTCTTCTTGAAAATAAAATAGCTTACTCTAGAATTCCCAGTGCTAAGTTGTCACTGTTAAACACTGTTGTGCCAAAAAAAACCAGTCTCCTCTTATCTGTGTAATTTAGAAAAATGCATCTCCTGTTCTCTTTTTATTGCAAGTCTAATGGAAGTTAAATTAGTGCAGGAGATCAGATAGAAGGATCAGGGCTCTAGTTTTATTTTTTTGTTTTTTTCACACTTGTTTATGTTAAATGTGCACATGATCTTGGAAAATCTCATCTTTTTAATGTATAGTAACAAATGGGATTTAGGATGATATGAGTGCAGCCAGTGTAGAATTTTTCTGTGGTCATAAATTTGTGAATTATATGCTGAATCTCATTATTACAGTTTTTAGTGTAACTGGATGTAAAAGATCATCCAAATAAAACAAGTGATAGTGTCATCCATTTTCTAAAAAGGGGGAGGGGAGAGATAGCATACTGAACTTGTAGAAAGTTTATGAATTACTATGTGTTCAGTTTGATATTCCTTTTTCGCAGTAGTTTTCTTTTCCATGAAGTAATTATCAGCTTTTTCTTAAACAGGTTTTAACTGCTAGTGAAAAAACAAACGTAGACAACTTGTTTCAGAAAGATTCACTTGTTCGACAAAGTCAGGTATGATAGAAAGTTTTTAATATGAGAATGAAAATAGATTAAATGTTTATAACACTAATGTTCTATGCACTTTTTGAAGTTGTTTCTAATACTTTTTTTTATATTCATTCAAGTGTAGTATTCCTTGTATGCATAAAAATAATGCTCTCTAGTTTCTAACGGTCAGGATGTTTTTTCAGTCTGGCTTGGGCACAATGAAAGGCTGAGAGCTGTTCCCAGTTGCAGCGTCTGTTACTGTTGATTGTGATTAATAAACTGTTAAATAGCACTGTAGTAAACTGCAGCATCCAATGAGAAATAGAGATTAAGTGCCAACAACCTTCATACTGGATACTTAAAATGCAACTGAAATAGTCTTCTGGATTTGTATGCCTTTTGGTTGCCAAATAGATAACAAATAGATACAGAAATGAGAGGAAGACAGTAAAAGTATTATTTGTTACATATTTACTTTAAAAATGCAATTTAATTTTATTCCAGCTGGTGGTAGATTGGCTAGAGAGCATTGCTAAGGATGAAATTGGGGACTTCTCCGATAATATTGAGTTTTATGCAAAAACAGTATATTGGTGAGTTCAGACTTTCTTTAATTATATACATGCTCCCATCAAGTGTAAGATTCACATTCACAGAATCACTCTTGGAAAGAAGTGGGTTTTTTAAGTTGTTCATTGCATTCACTTCTTTTCTTCAAAGTCAGAGATGTAAAAATTGAGATTTCTTACCTGTCTGCTGAAGTATATCTTCTCAGAAGTCAGTTACTGCATTTTGGGAGGCAAGGATGGAAGGAAAAACCATCAAACCAACTTAAATTAATCTTAACATAGATGAGGATTACTTTTATGTCTTTCTCAGGTGGTCACTTCTTTGTCTGGCTTTAATTTTTGCTTGTTTAAGTACTTGTTGTCCCTTTATGACCCTTCACTAGAAGCCATTATTGTCATCTTTATTATCACTGATGGATTTGGCAGAAAAGACCAAAGACTACCTTTATAAACTTGCTTTTAATGGCCAGTGAATGTAGGCTTTTGGAATCATGTTTATCCTAAGCTGAATTTCTGTCCTTGACTGAATTTATAGTGAATGCTAATGGGAAATTTTTCTTATGCAGAAATCAATTAATAGTTAAATACACGAATGATTGAAATAATGGATGCTTTTGAAAGGAAGTAGAGATATGTGTATTGATTCCAATGCTTTTGAAAGGAATCAGAGAAATGTGTATTGATTCCAATGTTGTACCTCTTGTGAAATGTTGCATTTTCACAACAGTAGCACAGTCCATAATAAATCAACCAAACCAAGTGTCTGTTCTGTAAACATATTCCATGTAAGAAAAAATATCTTTCAATATTTGTGTCTTATTAAAAGATGCTTGCTAAAAAAAAACATTTTTCTGTAAAACATTCCACTGCTTTCAGGGATAACACACTGCATACCCTGAAGCAGCGACAGTCAAGTACATACACTGGAAGTTCTCGAGCTCTGGTAACAGAGTTGGTAAGTATTAGATAAAAATAAGGCTTGATTTCGAAATATCTTAGAGCTATTTTCACAGCTTTCCATCAATTCTTAGATAGTTGTGCTATCTAAAAATCAGTACAGAAATTGTGAGGCAGGGCACCTCAAAAGTTCTTTCTGGGATCACTGTGGTTTTCTGTTTTCTTTCAGGAGTCACTTCCATATCCCCACCCCCCATCACAAGTACTTGTGGCCTATTTCGTGAAGTAAAGGGCTTTATTATGACTTTTTATGTCTGAAAGATACTCATGTTCCTAACCAGAAAAGCTTAGAAAAATGTTTGGGAGCCAATGGAGCCATTACAAATAAGGGAATTCTGTCTTTATGCAGTGACTAGTACAATGAAACCAAGTCCTGAAACAATTCTTTGAGAGCTACTATAGTAAGAGCTAATAGGAGAGAAGGCAAGAAAAGAAAGTACTGTCCGGCAGAACGAGGTAATGAACTGCCCCAGTGACAGCAAAGCAGTCGTAGAAGATTGATTCAATTGGGGAGTGATCTGAGGTATTGAGTGGCTTAAAAAAATCTGTTTGGATTAAATAGAATTGAGTGCCGCTGTTGTAAAAAGCCTTCTCAGATAGAAGGGGGAGGAGGAGAAACGGTGGTAGATGGATAGACGGAAGGGGAAAGGATGTTTGAAGGTGAGACCTGGAAGATGAGAAGATGAGAAGTTTAGGGCAAATAACAAGGCAGTGGAATAAATAAATTGCATTGGCTTCTTTCAATAGGAACAGTGACAGAAGAGGAATAAAAGAAATGAGAGAGGAAAAACTGAAAAATATCATGCTCGATATTACATGCATTGTACAGATTGTTGTGCTGACATGAAAAAATTACTCCAAATTATAAAACAGGGCAGGAATTTAATGGAAGAGACATATAGGCATTGTGTGGATGAGTGGTGACTTCTTTTCTCCCAGGATCCAGATGCTCCTATACGACAGAAACTGCCACTTGATGATTTGGACCGAGAAGATGATGCAAGGTTATTGAAGTATCTCTTCACTCTCATCAGAGCAGGAATGACAGATGAGGTAGCATAACTTTTAATTAAGTAAGATTTAAAATACCTTACTGTTAAAGCCAATGAAAAGCTGTATACTAAAATGTCTGTTTAAGTTTGGCTTGTGATGATTTTCAATTTGTTGTCAATATTGAGTGCTAAATTAGCATTTTAATGAAATCTTGCTTTTAGTTAAGTAATTTTGGGCATAGAGTAGATGTTATGGAAAAAATGTACTTTGGGGTTTTTTGACAATATTTTTTCACTCTTGTGGCTTGATACTAAATGCTGCCAGAAAACACACAGAATGTTTCAAAGAACTTCCTAACTGTGTTTATAATCATCAGTGGATTATCATGCATGCTTATATAATGGCAATTGAGTAAAGGGAGAGAAAGAGGACTTGAGAGTCTTGTTGCAAAGACCTTAGTCTTAGGAATATGGTTATTTGCTCATATTCTGTTCCAATACGGCGCACATCTATTCGTTGTCTGATATTATGGGAATGTGAGCATATTGCTGCAGGGCATCACGAACATGAATATAAATTCACAGCTTCACTTGGGGTTCTAAGTCAAATGGAAAAGTAGAGATGGATTATACATATAAGCAACAGGACAACACTTTAAACTTATCAGAAGGATGTGTAGTAGCTGTTTAAGCTAACAAAGATGAAGCTGTAGCACATTTCTCGCATTGCTATAAATACTGACTGAAAAACTAAAAAGTTTGGCGAAAAAAAAATGAATGACATTTACTTTGAAATCTTTCTGTTGTTTTGAGTTTAAGATCCTCTGTGCTTATTTCTCACACAGTAGAATCTACACAAATTAACTATTTTAATAATGTTCACATTTTTAAAGAAGCTAGAGATTTTCCT